AGAGCGTTCACACAACAGGGCCAATATAAGCGTAATGCATTTGTGCAATTGCATTATTTGAACGATGTAAAGATGGTGCTAGGATGCACATGACCTGGAAAGAAGTTAAAATTAACATGCAGCAGAAGGGGACATAAAAGCAGTTACACGAAGACAGTGCCTGCCAAACTACAGGGAGACTGATAGAGCAGCAGCTGCAGTTTCAGTTTGTGCTTCCCCCATATGCATGTCAGGTATATATTTATGTCAGTAATTCAGTGAAAAGTTGAATAGCAAAATTATGTTGTTGTGGAGACCTGCAATCCGTGACTCCATGTGTTTTATAGTGAGCACTGTGACCTATGTTACACACATTCCATTTCAAACAAAAGGGGAATGCTCTATCATGGCCCTGTTAAATATAATGCAAGCATTTTCATCATGGAACCTGCAGAACAGAGAGGTCTGTAATACTGCACAGTATTACAGGTACTGGGGATGATATTGAAAGCATGGATGAAAGCCAGGCTGGATGAGACTTTGAGCAACATGGTCTAGTGGGGAAGAGTCCCTACCCACAGCAGGGGGTTGGGACTAGATGATCTGTAAGGTCCATTCCAACCCCTAAAATTCTATGAATTAACCACATTCACTTAACTTCTTGTAATGCTTTTCTTCTTGGCATTCTATCACTAATCCCAGAACAATCTCAGCTGACCTTCCTGCTTGGCTGGCTATTATATTAGTGAAAGGAATTGTTTTCACAACACATTCAACATAAAAGGAAAGAATATGGATGGGAAAATCCTTTATAACATCCAATTATGAATGCTTTGTGGCCTGACACACCTTTTTCTGCTACAAATTTGTTGGCTGTTCCCCTCTGTTAACACAAACTATTATGATTTCTGCAGCTTGTGGTAAAAGACAAAAATTTACAAAGTGCAGTTGTGTCTAGTTTGGGGACAGTTTTATGCCCTAGCAGCTACTTCCATTGCATTCCTTGGATGCTTTAGGCCTTTGATTAGCACTCATTAAATGACCAAAAAAAAGGCTTGTGTTGAGGCATTTCATCATTCATTGTACACTTGCCTGCCACAAAATACTCCTTTGTCTGGAAGCAACTGCCACAGATTCTAGTCACTCTAACTGGCACCTGGTCTCTGCAAAATGCTGCTCTTTAGTCTGAGGAGTTTAACATTACCTATTGGGTGACATCTTCAACTGAATTACATATTTAAAAAATGCAGACAGAGCAAATTCCATAATAATACTGCAGAGAGAGTGACACAAACAGATACAAGCAAATTTCTGGGAAATAGAGAGATAAAAACCCACCAAACAAACAAAACCTCAAACCCAAAGATGGGAAACACTGAAGAAATTAACATTATCTAGCTTTCTTGTGAGGACTGAAGACATACAATGATATTAAATTGCAAATCTGTACAGGTTTATTTTTCATCAATCAACTAAATAACATGATGACTAAGTTACTGTTAATTAAAAATCAACAGAGTTGCAAAATTAATACTAATTTTGAAGCGTAAGTAATGCTGAACCTGCTTTAGATCCATTGCCTTTGTTATTACTGATGCGTATCTGGGTCACGCTACATTTTCTGCTACAAAAAACTACATAGCTACTCTGTTCAGAGCCTACCATATATTTCAGACCTACCTTTGCAGAGGCAGCAATTTCCTTTATTCCCTTGGCAGCAACATCTTTTATGATTGGTGTAATGAGCCCTCGGTCTGTTGCCACGGCAATAGAGATGTCAATGGACTGCAGCCGCCTGCAGACTTCCCCATCCCATGTCACATTCACATCTGGCATTTGCTAAAAGGCAGAGAGAGAGAATAAAACCCCACAGCTGTTAAAATAGTAACAGTGCAGTTATTGTGAAAAGGGAAACTCTTTTCAGACATATAGCTACAAAGAGGCATTTCCCCAAATTAATTACCTTGCACTTGTTGTATTTAAATTTACTTTATCAAAAAGCACAAATGTATGCTTCAGAAACTGAAAATGGCAGGAGAGCCAGAGGTGGTTTTGCTGTTGATGGGGGAAAAAAAATGACCAAAAGCTTATAAATTCCTTCAATGATACCACCTTATGGCTGCCCAGCATGTAAAGCTTCAAAGCACTGCAATCTCTCCCTCGGAATAAATCACAGGATGCTGAATTAAAAATCATGGAAATGGTGCTGGTTTGGGTTGAATGTGAGTCAACATTCTTCTCAGTGACTAGCATGGGACTATGTTTAGGATTTGTGCAGAACACAGGGCTGATAATGCAGAGATGTTTTTGTTGTTGCTGAGCAGAGCTCACACAGAGCCAAGGCCTTTGCTGCTTCCCACACTGCCACACTGGCAAGGGAGTTGGGGGTACATGGGAGATTGGGAGGAGACACAGCTGGGACAGGTGACCCAAACTGACCACAGGGATATTCCATACCACAGGACATCATGCTCAGTATATAAAGTGGGAGGAAGAAGCAGGAAGGGGAGACACTTGGAGTGATGGTGTTTGTCTTCCCAAGGAACTGTTCCATGTGCTGGGTCCCTGCTCTCCTAGAAATGTCTGAACACCTCCTGCTCGTGGGAAGCAATGAATTAATTCATTGTTTTGCTTTGCTTGTGTGTGCAGCTTTTGCTTTCCCTATTAAACTGCCTTCTTCTCTACCCATGAGTTTTCCTAGCTTTTACGCTTCTGATTCTCTCCCTTCTCCTGCTGGTGGGGGAGTGATTGAGTGGCTGCATGGAGCTTGGTGGCTGCCTGGGATTTAATCATGACAGAAATGGACATCCTACTACACTCATGTGGTGTTTTCCACTGGTGTCTCAAGCAAGACTCTCAACAAAGGGAACTAACTGTTACTCAACTAAGGTTCTCCTAAAATGCATCTGATTTTTGTGTGTGTGTGTGTTCACTCAATTAAAATGGGGATGTTTACTGATAATTTCAATAAGGTTTTGAGTTTACCATAGAAAACTGACAGCTTGAGGGGAAAAAACACCCCAATGTATAGGTGAAGTCTCAGGTGACTGGTTATATATACTGTGAAGGTGCTATTTCTAACACATCCAAGCTTAGTATTTAGTGACCTTAATGAAGTTAGGAATTTGGAAGTTGACTTCAGAGTAAAGTAGGTATTCCAGAAAAAAAAGTTGGGAGGGACACATTATCTCAAATAACTCTACCTCTATCAAAACTAAATCCACCTGTCTGTCTATCTAACCTAACTGCACCCCTAAAAGCAGCAGTGTGACACTACTCTCAGCTCCTATTCTCCCAACACCAGAATGTGTATTAAAAAAAAAGAAAAAAAGAAGAGAGAAGAAAAAAAAATGCAGTACTCTCTGCAAGCTAAATGGAACTTCAGGAAGTCCCACAGTACACACAGTTGTAAGATGCCCTCAAGTGGGTGCAGTGCAACTATGACTCTCTATATAAGGTATTGAAAAGAGATGGTAGAGACAAGAGTTTGTCGCTTCGACAAAGAAAGATTTCTTGTTAAAGGACAGCTGTTAGAGCAGCTGTTGTTACTGAGCCAAACCATTTGAGGTTATCATAGAATCAAAGAATTTAAAGGTTGGAATGGACCTTACAATGGACCTTGATAAAGCAACTACTGTTATCTGCAGATGATAACTGCACTAAGTGGATCTTTACTGGGAAGTTTTTATTTTTACAGTTCACAGCATACACAGTCCAGAGAATATTACCTAAAGACAGACCTAAAAGAACCTGACAATAAGCAATACAGAATTACCAGTTTTGCTATGATCACATTCCTATCTCCACATAGGCTCACAAAATACTTCTCTTGTCTCCTTTGCAGTCTACTATTACAAATACACTTTGAAAATCAATTATTTGCTTACCTTCAGAGTAACTGCAGTTGCCTTGATAATAAAATCATTTACAGATACTTTAATGTCATCTGCAAAAACAAAAGGGGAGAAAAAAAGACAACAATCATTGCAGGTAAGATTTGTTTATAGCATTTGTGTGATGACAAGATTCCAGTGATTATGCAGATTTGCTTCTTTGAAGCATTGCCAGAGAGTCACTCATCTTCAAGCTACAACCACAGAAGCAAGAAACCTTTTCCCCCCATTGGGACAAAAGGAGTATTATCAAGAAAAAGTCTCTTGAGTGGGGACATACCTGGCAGCTGTTACCAGAGGTCAAAAAACCTGCAAGCATAATTATAAGTACTCATTCTTATGTTCAGTTCATATGTGGTTTATGCTTAACATATTTACTGTCTGTGTAGAAACCTATGGAAAGATCTAAATATACAGAGACAGCACTGGAGACTAATCATATTTATAAGATCTGATGCATTAAGTGGAGTAAGTGCAGAGATCAGGTTTTATTCAGCTATAAATAATGCTATTCTCCAGTGACCTCTGGAGTCTTAAAATGCAAGAATTTGCACGGTGAAGGCACCTGTCAGTCATTAAAATTGCTTAACAATGTATTATAGAGCAGACTGCAAAATCACATGAGAGTGACAAAGTTGTTAAATCAAAAGCAAAAATGCACACCAAAAAAAAAATTAAGCATTAGCCAGAAGCAGATGAGAGAACTGGATTTGTTCGATGTGAGCCTAAGAAACTCTGCACAACACTTAGTATGTTTGCATCCTTTCCCCAAAAGCCCAGAAGAAGAGATGGAAACAACAGCTGTAGTTGTTCTGTACTACTTTTTTTCCAAGTTTTAGGAGATTGGAAGTGTTAACTAAAATCAGAAGTGGCAGCAGAGGAAACATGATGGATATAGTGCAGATGATGCCACAATTGCTGCAAGATTACCCTGAATTACATGATATCTGTACAATATTAAATGCACCATTCTCACCTTAAAAAACTACATTATTCTGCTACCATCAGTACTGCTGTCAGCAGACCAGATCAAGCATCAAAACCACTTCAAATCTGGTTTATGGCATGTAATACACACGCCTTGATAAATACTTTTGCAAAGGGAAAATTATTTGTAGATAATCATATGAAATGAAATATTCTTAAGTGATCACAAGTTTGGAGGAATAATTCAAAGATCCATTTACCACACAACTGACCTGCAATGTTTGCCATGATTAGCAATATATGTATAAGAAGAGAGAGAGGATTCTAACATAACTGAATAGAACTTGCCATTACCACGTTGCACTGACAGAATTTCACATCAGACAAACCTTTATCTTGGTTATCAAATACACTTTGGTGCAATTTACATACTATATTCCTAACCCTTGGCAAAAACATCACTATCCACTCAGGAGAGCAGGAATACAGTTAAATGATGTATGTCTGATAATATTTTACCTTGAAGTTCATAGTACCACTGAAGTTTATAACAGTAGAAAACACCATCAAAGAGAAGATAAATATCTATCAGGATGATCTCTGCAATTCAATTTCATGCAAAGACATATGGCTCTTCCCCACCTTTACATTTAAAAACAACATTCATTAGGAATCCACAGCAGCAGGCGAAGTGTGAAAAATTTCAAGTGAGTATTCCTAAGACACTTTTTTGGGTTCATTTCTTATGCCTTGCTGCTGCCTAAAGAAAATATCAGCATCATAAGACATCTCTGACATGAACTTGTAAATCAGATATCATTAGGAAAAAACAGCAAGGAGAAAAATGATCTGGGTACTATTGTACCAGAAATGAGTCATTCAAAACTCCAGTGAAAGGAGAAGCAGCTCCTGTATCATCAACAGGAAAATCACAGAATTATAGAATTTAAGGGCTGGAATGGACCTTACAGATCATCTAGTCCCAAAGCACCCCACCATGGGCAGGGACACCTCCTAAAAGAGCAGGTTGCTCAAGGCTTCATCC